TTAAATTAAACTTACGCATGAATCGGTCCATCCCGCGTCCAACGGCAAAAACATAAAAAATAATAATGCACAGAACAGAAAAAAAGCACAGATTTTAATGAGTATAAAAAAGTACGCGTGCGTCCGAACATGGAGTTCGGAAATGACGAGTCGCTATGAAGTCGACCACACGGCGCCGCGCGCTTATGCCACTGATCCAATTCGAAATGTACGACTACCAATACGAAGTGACGTAATGAGCGCCATTTTGGCCCCCGCCCCGCCGCCCTCGACCTCGCTGCGCCGACTTCTGTAAAAATGCACTAGTTTAATCATTTTCGAAGTCGACGAAATGTGGAAGCTTCTTTAGCTTTTATTAAGGTATGTCACGTTACAGCAAAGTTCCGCAGGACACAATGGCCGCTCGGTAATGGATTGGACTGCAGTGAGTTATGGGCCTAGCTTTTCTTTGTATTGCGCATGAAGAGTTTTTCGATTTTATAAGTCGTAATGATTTAGTTTTCAAAGTTCTTTCAATACACCATCAACTGAACTTGACGAACTCGATGGTCTAGCGGTTTAGCGCACCGTTTTCTTCCGATGGTCGCGGATTCGATTCCTCGTACGGTGCAAACATTTATATCCATGCGTATGGTTGTTTGTATCGGTCTGGGTGTTAAGTATATTATGTATGTATTTATAAAAAAAATGTAAGTATTTATATCAGTTCTCTAGTACCCATACCACAAGCTCTGCTTACAGTGGGACTAGATGGCGCTATGTTCATTGCCAGGGTCATTTATAATTATAACTTCAATAACAGTGGGATAGACTAGTTGACCCGCGTAACTTCGTCTGCATTACGTATTGGTCGTAACGTAATATTATACATTTTAGCCTTACTCTATATATAGATTAGCGCGTTCGAACATATAAACTCTTCCGCTTTATAATATTAATCAAGAATTTCCTCTATATATCAGTATTATTTCCCAGTCCTCTGTCAGATGGGGCAGGCATAGACATTTTTCTTATGGATGATAGTGGAATGTTACACCCGCCTGCGCTACACGGCACCAGTGTAGGATGATAAAATAAACATGAGGTCAGGTCAGTTAGCCCATCGTGACAAATTCAGCAGGAATTTATCAAGATGGTTTCCAGGGGGAACCACGTGGAGGTCAACCTGACATGGTACATTGCTAGCAATGGGGTTATTAGGCCACTTTCCCCAGGGGAATTGTATTTTTTTTTATGGATGATAATGTAATGGTGCACCCGTCTGTGCTAACGGTTTACGCTGGCGGGGCACCAGTGGAGGATGATGAGATGAACATGAGGTCAGGTTAGTTAGCCCATCGTGACAACCTCACCACGAACTTATCACGACGGTTTCCAGGGGGAACCGCGTGGAGGTCAACCTGACATGGTACATTGCTAGTAATGAAACGAAACTAATGTAACGAAAGATCGAATTTCAAATACACCATGAATTTATTAAGATGGTTTGCTTGATGGTCGTAGGGGTAGAATCGAAGGGGTATCGCGTGGAGTTTCTAACATGCTATATTACTAGCAATCCGATGATTAGTCCACATTACTAACAATCCCTTGTGGAAATAATCAAACGCAATACTTACACATTTCACTAGACATCTATAGTTGAATTCAATATGGCAGGGAAGCCTTGCACACCATATCTTTGGTTTTAGATGTAGTTTTGTTTTGTTATCAGTATTTCCAACAACAGAGGCAGCCTCTGCTGATGAAAATACCGTTAACAATCACCGCTATCATATCACTAAAGACATTCAAAATGTAATTGGTACACAAAGCGCTTTGGTGTCGGCCAAATTTGAACTTAGTACCTTCCGGTCTAAATCAGGGTAGTTAAACCGCCAGTCTTTGACGCTCTTCTAGCGAACTCCTATCTAGAATGATTAGGAAGTTCTATATATTTTAAATATATACAACTCTACTACTACGCTCCTAAATAACTTTTCAGGAAACGGACAAAAAATCTATAATGCGATATAGTTTAATGATGATAAACCTACCTATAGCTAAGTTACTTTTTTAATTTCATAAAATTACTGACATCTACTAAAATAACACAGAATTGAAGGAATAATTATTTTTAGGAAGTTGTAGAAAGTAATACCAGAGTTGTATATATTTTAAAATATATTAAAATATATACAACTCTGGTATAACACTCCTAAAAATAATTATTCCTTTATAAAGGCGATAACTAATTTAATATGCGAGATAATCTTCTAAGTGAATCATTTGAATAATCTTCAAACGGTTTTAATAAATTAAACCAACAAGTGACACCAAGGTAACCGCTCTGACAATTTAATGAACTGTAATTTGAACTAGACTCCCCTGAAGCCTCGTTTCAGCTCGAAATAGCTTACAGATCTGTTCCCATGGGAACTGCACATTTTGGAACACGGAATCGGGGGGAATTGATTTTTTTTATAGATGATAACGGAATGATGCACCCGTCTGTACGACGGTTTACGCTGGCGAAGCACCGGTGGAGGATGATAAGATGAGCATGAGGTCAGATCAGTTAGCACATCGTGGTAAATTCAGCATGAATTTATCAAGATGGTTTCCAGGGTTAACCACGTGGAGGTCAACCTGACATGGTACATTGCCAGCAATGGGGTTATTTGGCCACATAACTAACAATCCCCTTTCCCCAAGGGAATTGTATTAAGATTTGAGGAATGTAACGAAAGATCGAATTTCAATCAAACATATAGCCTACATGTTCTGATGCATAAGCTATATTACTGTAAAGTTTCATTAAAATCCGTTCAGTAGTTTTTGCCTGAAAGAATAACTCGCATACATACTTCCAAGCATTCGCGTATATAATATTATTAAGATTAAGATAGTACTATCTATCTTAATTCGATTCTCAGATTCTCAGACCTACTGAATATGCATATAAAATTTCATAAAAATCGGTCAAGCCGTTCCGAAGGCATATGGTAACGCTGGTTTACAATTGGCAGGGCACCAGTGAAGGATGATAAAATGAGCATGATGTCAGGTCAGTTAGCCCATCTTGGAAAATGGAAGTTTAATTATGATGGTTTCCAGGAGGAACTGCGTGGATATCAATCTGACATAGTCCATTGCTAACAATACAAACAATCTCCTTTCCTCTACATTCCATAGATTGAAAGAAAGAAAGAAAGAAAGAAAGAAAGAAAGAAAGAAAAAAATATTTCTTCAGTGCTTTTCAACAATGTTATAATACAACATTTATCCTATTATTCAATACAATTATTGATTTATCAATCGGCATCACTAGACCTTCTATGGCCGGGTCAGTGAACTCTTTGTTTACCTTTTCTTTAAGTATTGGAGTACAGTTATTTAATTTATTTTACTAGGTGTGCCCCCGACTTCGTCCGTGTACATTTGTAGCCATATGATTATATGCCATCTATTGATTATAATGTAACGATAGCATTAAACTAACTTTAAACTTAGTAACTAACTAGTGGTTGCCCAATGGTCGAGATTCTACCATAATTAATTTAAATCCTAAGTTAGAATATGTATAAGTAGTAAAAATCACGGGATCTTACCACGTTTAACCAAAAATGGAAAAAACATATGAATTACCATTTTCGAAAAACAAATGCATGAGTAAATAGCTGTATAAATTTAAAATTGGAATTCCTAACCAGAGGAGATATTTGAGATCAAAGTGGCCAGTACGTATGTAAGAACCTAATATAATGGTACTCATAAACTTTCGCGTTTATTAATAATAAATTAATAATAAAATTTATAAAAAAGATAAATAACTATTATTTAATCTGTAGCAATTTATACCTTGTAAATATTAGATGACTGTATCCAATTATGAAGAAGGCAAAGTTTCAATTTTATCTTGCCATTCAGGTTATCAAGTACATTTATTATAAACAAACAAATCATAAATACATGTTTGGATCAAATGTCACCAATTACAATATACATGATAATGTTTTTTTTCGTATTTTTTTATTACTTACACACATTTAGTCCCACGTTAAGATGAGAGAGGTGGTCACAAAGTTTAACGTTTATTTAATCTAATTAGATGTTATTTTGCGGAAGTCCATTTTGCTACTTAATTTTTTTTATGACAAAATTCCTCTTATATATTAATCAATTCAATCAATGATAATAAATTATATCATATTTGACGTTAGTTCTTTAGTTTTACTTTTTATTTTATCTTTTCTTACTTTTATTACTTGCACTCCTGTGACCCACACACCACTTCCTGTGTCACGCTGTTTTGGCTTGACTGGAAGAGATCTCTTTTAGAGATAAGTCCTCCTTTGTAAAACTTTGTAACATATATTCAAAACTTGTATTTAAAAGTGCAATAAAGTATATATAATAATCGGAACAAATTTATTATTTTACTTTTAATATTAAACAATTACATTAATACATACTTGTGGGGTACACAATTAAAAGATCTTCGATTTTCAAAATATGTGGACTGTATTTCAATTTGTTTCTTATTCTATGGGTCGGCCGGCCGGAGTGGGGTTTTCTTGGTCGTTGCGCCGGCGGTGGTTCTTCGTCGGTGGCGTATGCGTAAGAGAGCGCGATCGGGAACCAACCCGCCTTTTACGGGCGCCCGAGCGCGTCCTTCCCCACCCCGCCGAGCTGTGCGCGTCGGCCGTCCCACCCTCCCGACAATTCCTGCACATGTCGGTGACCGACGGGCCGGAACAGCGAATACGCACACATTTAAAATTAAATACAATAGTAACAATACAAAAAACTACAAAAAACCACGTGCGACTAAATGCCACATGTTCAGGCTACACTAAAGCTGTGATCCCTAAGAATTTACACAATGGGCGGACATAGAATTCACAGTATCTATGCCGCTACAAAGGGTATATGGTACAAACAATAGTCTAACCTAAACAATAGTCAAACACTGGAAAAATACAAATTTATACACAAATTTATTTACATATTTTCGATGCCGACTCGTGGTCCGCAACAGCCTCCCCCCGGCGCAGATCTTCGCAGCCCTTATCCCTAGGGAGGACCACCAGCCTTCGGGTCGGCCTTCGAAAAATTCCCTCGCGTCTGTCCGTCCGTCCGCGTTCACCGCAACGCCACTTGACCCATTTCCCCGCTTCGGCGGGGCGCTCCCGGCCCAGCTTCCATGCCCGTCGCCTGTATTCTTCTGCGAGCAGCAGCACCTGTGCCGGGGTCCTCCTCACTCGGTCATATGAGGAGAACCGCATTCTGTCCATTACGGGCTTTGCCTTCGCCCGGGCACGGGCTACTGTCTCTGCAGGGACGGGCTTGCTTTCCTTGGGTCGTTCTTTCTCTGGAGCGTATACAAGCGCCGGCCCGACGGATCTGTCGGCGGCGGTCCGTATTGTATATCTCGCGCGGGTCGCGTCGTTAGTTACGTCGTGGGCGGTCGGTACCCAGCGCCACTGTGTTGGTTCTGTATGTTCGGCGCTTTCTGCCATCCGGCGGGCCGCGTGTGGATTGTATCGAGCGGTGTCGTTCCTAGTCCAATGTAGCGTCTTCTTCGAGACCGTCCATAGGAAGACTTCGGCCGCGCGACGACGTCCTTTCAGTACGTCAGCGGCCAGTCGGGGTCCTACCAGGCTCGCCTGAAGCTCCATCCGGGGTATACTCTGCGCTTTCATGGGCGCTACCCTCGCTTTGGCTGCTACCAGGACGACGTTAACGCTACGATCCTCGCGTTCCGTCCTCCAATACGCGGCTGTGGCATATGCCTGTTCGCTTGCGTCCGTGAATACGTGCAGTTGCGACCGTTGGCTGTCGTTCGTGCCATACCGTCGTTGCAATCTCAGTTCCTTCGGCGTCCTCGCTCGCTGGTCCTCACTCACATTCTCTAGCAGGCTCGGTCGGTTTGTATTCCAACCCGCCAGCGTGAATCCTATCCCGCCATGAACCTCTACTACCTCTCGTATGGCGCGGGCTGCTTCCTCTTCGGAGTCAAAGCTATCGACCCAGTCGTCCATGTAGTGGTTCCTTGTTATGGCGGTGTACGCTGACGGGTGCGACTCTCGGTGCTCTGCCGCGTTCTTGTCTCGAACGCTGTGTGCGATGAACGGTGAGCTCCTCGCCCCGAAAATCATTGAGGTCATTACGTATTTCTGCGGCGGGTTAATCCTGTCATCTCCTCGCCACAGAAACTGTTGTGCTGCTCTATCTTCTTCCCGTATCTTAATCTGCAGGAACATCTCTCGTATGTCCGCCGTGATAGCTACGGGCTTCTCGCGGAAACGGTATAACACACCGTTAAGCGACCGTAGCATATCTGGCCCATCCAGCAGTACGTCGTTCAAGCACATTCCCTTCGAACGGGCCGCGGCGTCGAATACGAGTCGCAGTTTTCCGGGTTTATTCGGATTCGTCACTCCGAAATGGGGAAGGTACCACGCGCGGTCGTTGTTGAACCGGTCGTCGGTTACTTTCTCGGCGTAACCCTTGTCCAACAACTTGTTTATCTCCGCGGTATACGCCAGCCGGAATTCCGTAGAGCGATCCATCCGCCGCTCTATTCCCCTCAGTCGGCTCGCTGCCATGTCGTAGCTGGGAGGTAGAGCGACGTTATCTCTCTCCCACGGCAATCCTACGACGTATCGCCCATCCACTCTCGTCGCTGTGCGGTTGAATGTGGCGACGGCGCGCTCCTCCTTGGCAATGGGTAATCTCTTCGACGATATACCCAACGCGTCGATGTCGTAATGCGCTTTTATTATGCCCTCTATATGCCGCATGTCTGGCTCGGCGTTGCGCTGTGTCAACCGCACGTGGAGGACATGTTCCTCGTCTTCCACGACACTTCTGGGTACCGTTCCGTGGATGACCCATCCCAGTCGTGTCAGCGACGCTGCGGGTTGATTATGCCTTCCTATGAGCAGCTTCCGCGTAACAATCAGATGCCAGTTGTCTGACCCGATCAAGACCTTGGGTCTGGCATCTTCGTAGCACACTTGCTCGCAAGTGAGTTGTCGCAGGTGTCCGTACGCGAGTATTTCCGGGTTCACTCGCTGCGTTCCTAGGGTGAGATCCCGGATCGTACGCGCCCTCACCGAGTGTTCTTCGTCCGTATGGTGTCGCCCTCTGATGATGACATCAGCCACTCGGCTTGAGGCTTCGTGCCAGCTCGAGGCCGCTCCCTGAATTCTCAGAGATCGCGTCGGACCTTCGGCTCCGATCTGTTCTGCGATCTCCGCATCGATGAGTGTAACCGTCGAGCCTTCATCTAGCATCGCGTACGTCTCTACTTCGCGTCCCGTCTTGCCTTTCACGATGATGGGACACACCTTTAACAACACTTGGCTGTTCTCTGGCAAGCGTGCTGCGGCTGTAATCGCGGTGTCCTCTTGCCGCTTCGGCGGTTCTTCTGGGGGGTACAGCAGGGCGTGGTGTGGCTTACGACACTCTCTCACACCACATTTGCGTGCCTTACAGAACCTTCTGTGCGTGCTGTTCATGCATTGGAAGCACATCTTATTTGTTTTCGCCCACTCCCATCTGTCCGATAACGACATGTCGTTCAGCTTCTTACACTTCGGCGTTACGTGTGCGGCGCCGCAACAGAGACATTCGGTACTCTGTTCGCTCTTTTCTACGGCGGCGTATACGGCCGCGCCACGATCCGTCATCTGTCGCCGAGGTGCCGACATCGTTGCTTTCGGTATGGGTTGCCTAGTGGGTTGCTTCGGGGGCTGCTTCGTGGGTAGCGCGCTCGTTCGTCTCGTTGGTGATGCTATTCGTAGATGTCGGGTCATGAGATCGGCTTCGCTCATTAAAAACTCTGCCATCTTGATGATCGTAGGTCTAGTGTCCTCCTTGTTTTTTTCAGCGTAGTGACACCAGTGGACCTGTAAGTGAGGGGTCAGCTTCTCTGACACTTCACTCTCAAGCGCGGGATTATGTAGGAATCTCGCCCCCCTGTCGATATCCGCGACGATGGTGGTGATGTTCTGTAGTTTAATGGCGAAGTCAATCACCTCTGTTGTCGATGTTCCTATTACCGGCATCCTTCTCAGATCTTTGAGGGCGCGGTCGATGATGGCCTCTGTCCGGCCGTACCGCTGCTCCAACGTCCTCATGATCTGCGACGGTTCTGTAGCGGATACGAGTAACGCTGCGACTGTCTCTCTCGCTTTTCCACGTAAGCAGGCCCTCAGCCTGGCCAGGTTCTCCGCTGGTGTGATCCTGTACGTCTTTGTAGACTGGTCTACGGCCGCCTTAAACGCTAGCCATTCACTTGCTTCGCCGCTGAAGATCGGGAGATCTTGGGCTTGCCTCGGCGCTACCCTATCCGCTCGTTCGTCCACAGCTCGTTCAATAGCTTTGGCCAACCGGGTGAATCCTTCTTGCATCCCGGCTTCAGGAGCGGGGGATCTCCGTCTTTGCTTCGGCGTCCTCGGCGGTGAAGCTTGCCTTTCTGTTGGCTCTTTCTGCGTAGGCGGTGGGGAATTAATACTCTGCTCCCCCGTACTTCGGTACGTTGAAACCAATCCGTTATACGTTGCAGGCCGGCACCTTCCTCGGAGCACACGCTATCTCTATCAGTCTCTTCATGTACCGCGGCGACATCGGCTGCCAACTTCTTTCTAATTAAATCAGCCTGTAATTTCGCCATCTGTAGCGCTGCCTCGTACTCCAGCCTCTTTAATTTAGCTATACCGCTAGCGGTAGAGCGGCGCGATCGCACCGACGCGGCCCGGGCCGGACGTACATCTGTCGTCGGCGGCTGCGACGGTGGCGCCGGTGCGGAGTCCGAGGTAAACGCGGCGCGGGCGGCTTGTGCCTGTGGCGCGCTCGACGGCGCGGCGGACGCGGACATCTGCGTGGTTTCTGAAGGGGACGCTTCTGTCTGTTCATTTTCCCGCGTGGTCTTTTTCTCTGCTCCCGGGGCTTGGCTTCTCGTAGTCGGCATCGTGTTCTGGCACTTGCAAGCCCCTAACCTACCGGTCCCTACCTACCTAACCGTCCCTAACAATCCCTCAGGATAACACCCGAGGGGATGGACTATGGGGATAGGAGGGTAGGAATTACCCCGCAGTGGTGCGTATGTACAGACGGGGCGCTCAGGGCCGGTTCGGACTTTCCGACCCCTTTGGCAGTGCCTACAGTCCGGCCCCCGCTATACGATACACACGTACAGGCAAAGTAATAGTGCTATTCGGTTGCGCCCCGGTAACAAGCAACAACCGGCATGACACACCACCCACTGCACCGCTCAATGGCGTTAACCCACACTCCGACCGTTTGACACCGTTAGGTGGTAAGAGATGTGAGCCGCGGACACACCGCTTAGACGTTATCTATCCTATATGGCGTAGACGTTATTTATCCTATCCTCGCTGCACCCTCAAGTTTTCACCTTACGACGGCAGCTAAATTCGAAGCTGCTAGCGTCGCACCGTTGGGTGATCTTCCTCGGCGAGGTACGTCGCACCGTTGGGTGATCTTCCTCGGCGAGGTACGTCGCACCGTTGGGTGATCTTCCGCGGCGATTCGTCGCACCGTTGGGTGATCTTCCACGGCGATTCGTCGCACCGTTGGGTGATCTTCGGTCTTGATATGCGGCTGCGATGGACCACAAAATTGTGGGGTATACAATTAAAAGATCTTCGATTTTCAAAATATGTGGACTGTATTTCAATTTGTTTCTTATTCTATGGGTCGGCCGGCCGGAGTGGGGTTTTCTTGGTCGTTGCGCCGGCGGTGGTTCTTCGTCGGTGGCGTATGCGTAAGAGAGCGCGATCGAGAACTAACCCGCCTTTTACGGGCGCCCGAGCGCGTCCTTCCCCACCCCCGCCAAGCTGTGCGCGTCGGCCGTCCCACCCTCCCGACAATTCCTGCACATGTCGGTGACCGACGGGCCGGAACAGCGAATACGCACACATTTAAAATTAAATACAATAGTAACAATACAAAAAACTACAAAAAACCACGTGCGACTAAATGCCACATGTTCAGGCTACACTAAAGCTGTGATCCCTAAATTTACACAATGGGCGGACATAGAATTCACAGTATTCCGCTACAAAGGGTATATGGTACAAACAATAGTCTAACCTAAACATATATCAAACACTGGAAAAATACAAATTTATATACAAATTTATTTACATATTTTCGATGCCGACTCGTGGTCCGCAACATACTCGTACATACATCGAGTACCCAAGATACTGGCAGCGTTGCCTCTTGGTTTTATATAATTTTGTTTATACAATAGAATAAAATAGAAATCCTTTATTAAAATAAACTTAATTTAAGCACTTTTTAAAACATTATTTCGTTTAATTTCGCTATTGTTTATTTTATTATTAATTAAGAAATTAAACAAAATAATATAAATTCATTAAGTTGTTCATTAAGATTGTCTGATAAGGGAAGAAATCGTAAATGTTGTAATAAAATTTGTATCTATATAACTTAATCGATTAGATTTTGTTTAGGAGCTTAGGATTAGTAGTGAGCATATTAGCTCCGTTTTGGGTTCTAAATTAATTAATTAAAAGAAAATATATATAATAATAATAATAAATAACGCTGGACAATTAAGACAGCGCCATCATATCCCACGGTCAACAGAGCTTGTGTTATAGGTACTAGACTGATATAAATACTTAGATATTTTTCCTTTTTTTATAAATACGTACATTGAAAACACCCAGACCACTACAAATAATCATACTCATGAATACAAATGTTTGCACCGTGCTAATCTTGCGAGGAATCGAACCCGCGACCATCGGAAGTGCGGCAGTGTACTAAACCGCTAGATCATCGAAGCAATCAAATCATTCATTCATCGTAATGTTATAATATTTTATTTCATATATTTTGTTCAAATAATTTATAAAGCCGCTAATCTGAGGTAAGAATATAAAATATACTCGTGAATGCAAATGTTTGTGCCGTGCGAGGAATCGAACCAGTAACCATCGGAAGGCGGTGTGCTAAACCGCTAGACTATCGATGCCGTCATAACATATGTTTTAACTTGTAACTAGTAATATATAGAGCGTGCGAGTGTATGTATGTATGTATGTAGTGTACTATTATAGTTACCCGGCCGCATCCTCATTACAGCGCGTTGGTAACAGCAATCAGCGGCCTTCCTTCCTTGTGCGACGGCCGGATCGCAGCCCGAGGTCGCTCTATAATCGACTACAAAACTGAGAGGTTACAAAATTCAAATAATTATAACAAGTAATGTTCGCAAACTAATTATGTTAAATTATAAGTTTGAACATTATTTTGAATCGTAAAAAAAACATCATCATCGTTCACTGCTGAAAAAAGGCCTCCCCAAAGATCTCCACGACCTGCGCTGCTCGCATCCAATGCCTTCCAGCGATCTTGACCAGGACGTGGTTCTTAAAAAAACACAGTGTATAATTATTGGAATTTCACATTATGTACCTAAATCAGACTTGAACAGTCTTCCACCTGTGTCTGTACAGACTTTACGGATCACGTTCCGATAATTTATTTATTTCAGGCCACTAATGACCCATTTTGTAAATATTTAATAAACTAGCATACATATGAAATAGTTATATGCAACATAGATATATATATTTTATACATACATAAATATCTTACATATAAAATTCTCGTGTCACAGTTTTCGTTCCCATACTCCTCCGAATCGGCTTGACCGATTCTCATGAAATTTTGTGAGCGTATTGAGTAGGTCTGAGAATCGGCCAACATCTACTTTTCATCCCCCTAAATGTTAGGTAGTCCACCCCTTAATTTTTTTTTTTATTTTAAGGCAAAACAACGTTTGCCTGGACATGTAGTATGTATATATAAAATTCTCATATCACAATGTTAACCATACTCATCTGAAACGGCTTGACCGATTTTTATAAAATTTTCTATGCATATTCAGTAGGTCTGAGAATCGGCTACTATCTATTTTTCATACCCCTTAGTGATAAGGGTTGTCCACCCATAACTTTATTTTTTTATTTTTTGAGCAATTTTTTTTATAATGGGGCAATAAAAATAAATACAACACCAATTTCGTCCTTCTACCATCAACCCCTATTTTTTAAAAGCGATTTTAATTTTTATAGCAACACGTTTGCGGGGTCAGCTAGTATGTATATATAAATGTTCTCTATGGTTACGACACTGACAACAGCAAACTGCCACGGTAGTGACGATACACCGCCCCCATCGGCGTAGTCTTCATAAAGGTGGACAGCATGTTGAACCCGGGCCTCAAACGCCTTGAAACTCGCGTTGTGACTCAACTCCAGCTGCGTCACCCTCAATGTCAGGTTACACCTGGTCCGTATGTAGTCGACAATGTCCTGCTCCTTGGTGGCGTGGTGTAAGCTGGACAAGTGCATTGCCGTGGTCGGTGTTTCAGCATGGATCAGAAAGTTGGGCAAGGTGCAATGCCGCAGTGGTTCCGATTGGCCCTCTTTGTGCGCCTCTTCTTTTGTATCACGATAAAGCCATCATCCAGCATGCAATAGGAGGGGTTCATTGTGTGCCCATTAATAATAATAATAATTTCAGGACTTTTCACACACCTTCTTCTAGACCTAAGTTAAGGTAGCTAAAACTTGTGTTATTGGTACTGGATAACTAATACAAATATATAGATTTTTTTTCGTGAATACATATAAATTATACATAGAAAACACCCAGACAGATACAAACAGTCATACTCATGAATAGAAATTTTTGCACCGTGCGAGGTAACGAACTCGCGACCATCGGAAGGAAAGTGCTAAACCGCTAGACCACCGAGGCCGTCCGTTGCTCCAGGATTATGTGAGCGACCAACTGAGATAGGTACGAGGTACCCACAACGACTTTATACAAAATGTACCTATTTCTGTTTGAAACAGCAACTGCGGTTCTCAGCACAGTGTAATTAAATTGTAGAATAAATAGATTTTTAATTACGAACATGAATTGTTCATATGATTCACAGTTATGACGCTGCACGTCACGCGACGGTAAAATAAACTTACGCAACAGTCACATCTGCTTTTTACGCAGATGCGTGGTCCAAGTAATGAGAGGAACATTCCCTACGTCAAAACGTACAAAGTCGTTTTTTCGGACTACTCTAAAGCAATGCCGTAACTGGCTTTTACAGCTTTACCGGACTATGAGAGGAACAACTCTTTTGTTACCGATATAGATTTCGTACGAAGTCATTTTTTTTCGGACTACTCTAATGTTAGTTGCAGATTGCCTTTCGGTGGACCTTACTTCCTATCTCTCTCATATCCTATCTATCTATCTCATTTGCACTCCAAACCCTCAGAGGGAGTAATGAAGCGGTTGAAGACCAACTCCCGCCTGACGGATACGACTTTAGTTGAGGGGTACCGGTAGGGATTCAATCCTCGGCTGAGGCCGAAAAGTCTAGAAACCTCTTACATGTATATGACATGAACAGCACAACGGACGTCGGAATATATATGTATATATAATACGTTGTGTTTTAGAAACACTCATATGAAATAATGTACTCAATTGTGTAGCTCTGAAAACAATTTAAATTTATTATAAACAATTATTCTCCAGAACTATTACAAACACATTACAACTAATATATCAAATTTAGACAACTCATCTGAAAGAGATACATTTTTATGCTATAATTTCACAAATTAAAAACAATTTTATATGTATATTTTTTTAGTAAATCTGTTACATCTACGAACTTTTTTTTTTGTTACCGTTTATGCTTTAAACAAAAGGCAAAGACAAATTGAAACTTTCGTAATAAATGACGTACGTTATATTAACGATTGAATCTACTGCGAATTCGCGCCAAATTCAAATAAAGAATGTCAATGACCTTACTCTATATCTTATATATAAAATTCTCGTGTCACAATGTTAGTTACTATACTCCTCCGAAACGGCTTGGCCGATTTTAATGAA